GAGTCTTTGTGATGGTTGCTTACTTTATATAGTATCCTAGGATTCAGTCTTGCAGTATCCTTTTGTCATACCATGACAAATTTGTCCTGTAATGTTCATGTTTTGGCCTTTTTGGGTTTCATAGTCTCCATTCATATTTAGTGCCATATACAGAAAACTCTGCAAATGTCCCCACATTCTCAATCAAAATTCATGTACATGTTTTTGTTCATAGTATATAATGACAAATTTTTTGTTCACCGATGCTATGTGTAGACTATAAGTTGCGTGTCGTTAGGAGAATATTAAGAAAATAGCTGGGCACATAAGAGGTTTAGGCGCCATATAGCCAATCTTTTATCAAGTATGGTAAAAGGTTATACCAAAGTTGCATCCCAAGAGACAAATGATAAGGACTGCCTATGATAAGGATCTAAATGCTAAAGTAAGCAAAAAGAAAGTACAATAGTCAGAGATACATAAACATGGGACACAAATTTTTTGATGAACTCATTAATCATTTTCTATCCTCTCATACTTGTGTTGTACAGTAGTTGTTATATCCCTTTCTCTCCCCCCCCCCCCCTCCCAAACACCCCCTCTCTTATTTGACGTTGAAGATTGACCATGAATTTCATCTATTTGGATATTTTTGTAAGCTATGCAATTGGATCTGTACTAAAAGTATACTCTTTTTTTTGTTACAAAAAATTAAGTTTTTATCATTATATTATGAGTTTATGACAGACTCAGGGTGGAATTTTAACCTTAAAAATAACCCCGAATTAAGATAAAAGGGAGGATCTTTGTTTGTTATTGGTTTTTAAAGTGTCCTGAATGTCTGTGTTGAGGTCTATTGAGCCTGTTCTGATAAGCTGAATGGTCGTATGTTTGTCATTATTCACATATACTGTCTTGTGTTCAGACTACTCTTCAGTTATCACCTAACATTTAACCCTTTACTGATGCAAGTGCACTTGTTATGGAATGTGTAGGTTGAGGATTTACTTCAGAATTACGAGAATGTATGCACATTGAGGGTGCGCATGCCAATCTCCTCTGATTTATCCAACTCCCGCAACTTCATTACCAAGATTGCCAGGTATGAGAAGGTGGTCAACATTCCCAACTCAATGACAATCTTGGATGAGCTGCTTCCCATCTCCATTGAGATGGCAAAAAGAAACCTCACAGGAATCTACAACTTCACAAACCCTGGTGTTGTTAGCCACAACGAAATTTTAGAGATGTACAGGGATTACATTGACCCCAAATTCACATGGAAAAACTTTACCCTTGAGGAGCAGGCTAAGGTGATCGTTGCTCCAAGAAGCAACAATGAGCTTGAGACCACCAAACTGAAGACAGAATTTCCTGAGCTTCTACCCATTAAGGAGTCTCTCATAAAGTATGTGTTCGAGCCAAACAAGAAAACAGCTGAAGTTGCAGCTTGATGATAGTCTGTCTAGGTCAGAACTTTTACTTCAACTCTCTAAATTTCTATTATTTGGACCGAGTTGAATTGGGTTTTGCATACTTACTTCAATTTAGGCATCATTATTATTGAAAATTACGAGTAATTGTTGCCATTATGTACTATGTCTATTTGTATTCTTTCTTCTTAAGCACAAAAAGAAAGGAGTGATGTTTTGTATTTGTAACAATTGGATTTTGAATAAATTAGTTGAGGCTGATATTTGTGCCATAATTACATTTCAATATATAATGATTGTTTTTTCAACTTATCCCATGTTCTGCTTGATTAAATCTAATCTATGGTTTTGTACCTTTTGGTAAAGGCTTAGGTAACTAGGTAAGTAAGTTATTCCATATTGTCGGAACACATCGTTAACAAAAGCTCAAGTAGCGAAAATAATCCCTTGTGTTTAAGATGAAACCATCTAGTTGAAAGGAAGCCCTTTCATTGTTGAATTCTTATTCGTGCTCAAGCTTCCAAGATCAAGGGCTTAGCCTAATATTGCTTCGTCTACCAGTTTATGAAGCCCAGATGCGTTTTCCATTAGAAAGTTCAGAGGATTTTGTTCTTTTTACAGCAAACTGTCTTGCACGAAAATAGACAGATGTAGATCTCTTTGCAGAGAAATTTTCCAAAAACCAATCTTTCGTTAGCTTCATGAATACTATTATATCCAAGGTTACACCTTTCCATGCACCATCTGTGTTGAAACCATGAAAGTTAACAATTGAATTCCTAGTGTGAACTGTAGTAAAACCAAGGAGATGCCGAGTTAGTCCGATTAAAGATTGAACATAGTGACTGGAAGAAGGCAGTATTTACAAATCCAGTTTGTTTCTTGTACACCAAAAGATTGGAGAGGCACTGAGACAGTGCTTAAAATGTTAAGAGTACTCAGAGCAATTAGAGATAATACCTAATCCTACCAATCCTGGTTGAAGAAAGTAGCGAAGTTGAAGTTATATTACCACTATGAAATTAAACACGAGATTTGATTCTGTAGAATGAACACCATAGCCAGATGTAATCTTCATGTCTGCCCCTGCCACAGCGTGCTACGACTTTATACTATTGTCCAACCTTTGCAGAGGCTTTTGCTTATAAACCGCAGTACTTATTAAACGAATACTCTCACTTGGAACCAAAGGCATACACTGGTGCTGAATATCAAGTCCATCATATCAGCAGGTTTGAATATCAAACTAAAGCCTTTTTCACCAGCAGAAGCGAAGGTCTGCTTGCGTATGGCTACAGATCACAACTTTGCGAAGTTGGAGAATGGAGGTTACACCGAAGTCCATGCTAGAAAAACCTGAACTGATGCAGAGCCTTGAGCTGCATGTCATCATTGCAGCATATATGCAAGCTATTACGGGGAGATTGGTACAGGCTTTCATCTATACTAACAGAGAAGAAATTTAACCGGCTCATGTCATGTCCGAGCATCCTTGAAAATGTTTTACATTAAACCAAATGGGCCTAATATAAAAATTTAAACTTTTTTGTACAGAATTAGCCTATTTTTATGGTCCAGTTCGGCCTTTTAGGAAGGCCTAGCCTACTTAAGCCTTGATGTAGTCTTGTCACCAACTTTTCCTAAGGCTTTAGTAAAGCTAAGGGTGATAATTGAACTAAAATTGATAATCAAAATTTGAATGATATTGATATTTATGAGATTCTCAACTTAGATTACTAGCTATTATACTGAACCTAAAGGATTCAATTCTTCCTATTATGTGATCAATCCCAAGCTATAAAGCTCATTATCATCCATTGCTGACTCCTAACTTTTTGCTACTCATTTTTCTCTTGGCTAATTTAGTGCTTGTTCAGTTTACATGGAACAATGAGATGTTACATTGACATTAGATATTTTAGGAATTTTTTTCACCTATTTGGTTGACACATACAAAGTAGTATTAATCTAGACACTAGACTTCCCATAAATTTTGATTGGCCAAGTTGAAGTTTGCTAACTTATCTTGAACTTTCACTTTCTTTGTAATAATTTTTTTGTGTTAGCCAAACAACTATCTAAACAAGCATTTTATCATGAGTACAAGTATAATGTTTTTTTTTTTTTTTTTTTATTGTTTTTTTTTTTTTTTTTTTTTTTTTTTTTTTTTTTTTTGTGCAAAGTAGTAAAGAAGGTTAGAAAACAATTACAGTCTATAGACTAGATGCTACTAACTAGACTAATCAGTTCAAGGGCTTAATACGACATTGACACACATTGTAACTTAGACAGTTACAAATTACACTAGATAACTTTTCCGGAGGATGTTATGAGAGGACCATTGATAGGGGGATCAAATATTTTCTTCGTACCTACGTGCCACACACATGTACCAATAGACTTACCCTTTGGCTAGGCAAAGGGTAAGTCTATTAGTACATGTATGTGGCTTTTCTGCTTGAAGAATTGGCTAGGGCTCTCACTTTGGGTTGTTTTCTTTCATGGAAACATATATGTTCATCTTAGCACCTACTCTATAAACTTCACTGAAGTCTGGAGATAATGGAGTCTACTCATTGGGTCAGTGTCACACATTATTCACACTTACCAGATTTGATAAACTTGACCAACCAACCCCACTTTAAACATGTAAATTATGAATCCCCAATTATTATATTCGACAACTAGCGGGACGCATGACCAAAATCCATTGGCTTTTCACGTGGGTATCTAATACCTACATGAATCTAAAATCTAAAATCTTAACTTTCAATTGTTTATCTTCAAAACCCTTTTTAAATCCTGAAGGGAGCATTTGATTCACATAATTAAGGTATAAGGTATGGGTTTAGAATGGTTTAAACCCATACCTTATGTTTGTTTTATGATTTTAAGAGTTTCAAACCCATACCTCAAACCCCCAAGGTATGGGGTTCAGAAATTTTGGAGGGGGGGGGGGGGGGAGTGCGTTTGGCTCATTCCCATACTTTTATGTATCAAATAAAAGAAAAAAAATTCATTCCATAAGCATACCAAACATATGGTATTAGAAATAAAGTTTCAAACTCATACCACTATAGTTTCATTCATAACCATACTAGTTTGCGAACCAAACGCCCCCTAACCCTTTTGAGGTTGCGAACCAAACGCCCCCTAACCCTTTTGGATTGTCGTCTTAAGGGGACTCGCATTCTACGTTAGCAACCGTAAAGAGGACGAAGTTATGACTTAAGAGCATCTACAATGGTATAAAATAAGTCTTTGTATCCAATTTTTAAATAGTTGTAGCTAACAACTTACCAATATGGAACTACAAGAGTTGTAACTTTGGTGAAACTACTTAGCTAACCTTATTCTACTCATAATTTCACTACCCTTTGGCTAGCAAAAGATTAAAAGTACAAGTAGTCATTTAACCTCACACTTTTGTACAACTTTTAAAAACAATCATTTTGTGGTATCAATCTCCTCAGGCTAAGGCATCTAATGATCTGGTCCTGTGGCAGCGGCCATGTGTGTGACAATGTCACTTTCTAATAAAAACAAATAAATTAAATAACAAGAAAACCTAAAAGATCCAATAAATGAATAATGACAGCTTCTCAACTATTTTATTTTCTTAAACTGTCTATTAATTACCAAACATACAATACATTTCTAGTTTGAAACAATATTAACTCTAAATAAATTAGCTTGAATAAAGAAGCACAATACAAGTTCACACTACCAGAATGAATAATATTAAAATGTAAGAAAAGGATGCAACATTTTGCATGATCAAACAATATTTCTAACCATTTCAGCTGATTTTATAACAGCATAGTATCCACCCAATGCTGCAAACATCCAAAAAGACTATCACTCTTCAGAGTTGCAGCAATTACGGGCGGATAACTACCCTCAAGCATCAGTGACCATTGGTAACTGAACCATTTTCTTGTGTGCCATTAGAATCATTTGCGGGTTTCTTGGCATAGAATCTTCGATACATAGAGTCTACCTCGGTTAAGTAGTAAGTACCCGGAGCCAAAAGGGTGGTATCCTTACTCGTCACAAATTCCTTTGCCCCGTACCTGTGCTCCATTAGCTTCAAGGTTTCGACAAATTTCTCAGGTGGGAACTGCAGACGAATCATACAAGTCAGATATTAAGCCATGATCAAATTTATACGACTAATTTATTGTTATTACTCCACCTAAAACCCTCTTTCCCAAACCAGATAAAGGGATGCTAAAGAGAAATTACCTCATGCCTCGACTTCAACTTGTCAGCAACATTCATGACTGCTGCAATGTTGGACAAGCTGAAGGGCTTCTGCCCTTCATTTAGCCAGAATGAGAACATTGTAGCTGTCAAACCACTTCCATAAGAGAACATTATGATCCTCTTGCCTGCCTGTAATATATTAATAGCCAAAGGCATGAATACTAAACCAAGTTAACAACGTAAAAAGACCAAATCATATAAATATGCCTGAAGTACTCACCAATTCACTGTGTTTATTGTGAATAAGGGAAGCAAATGCTGAATATAGGGATGCTGTGTATGTATTCCCAATTTGCTTTGGTATCAAGGTGGTCGGTTGAACCTTCTTGTCATATAAGGGCTTCGCAACTTGCTGAGCTACCTATAAGTGAGAAAATTTACTAACATAAATATTTTTTACTGACTTATATTTCTCAATTAAGTTTGTTATATCAGCGATAACACACCTTTTCAAGATCCCTGCTTTGATAGCTTTCATCAATAGACAGATTGGAGAATGGGGAAAGCTTCTCCCCAGCGTCTTCATTGATGGAGCTGCCAATCAATGAAGCAAATATTGGTAAAAGAGCACAATGGTGATAAGTTAATAGCCCTTCATTAGACAAATTGACATAATCCCAATAACAATAGGAACTACATTATAGTAAGAAGAGGACAATACCTAGCATTTCTCAAGAAATCATTGTACACCAATCGGGCAAAGCTCTTTTGCACTAGCTGTGAAAATAAGAGAGGGGCATTATTTTAAGATTGTCAAATTTGCAAGCACACTTGTTTTGAACATCAATTATTTCAAACATAATTACATCAGAGGTATACCTTGTTGTATGGAGAATGGAATACAACATATTCGGCGTCATCAATAGAGAATTTCTTGCCTTCAAACTTCTCATACCTACAGTTGGGAGAATAGTTTAGCTTCACAAGCTTAAAGGTAAAGTGATGGACACAATGTATTCTTAAGGGCAGTTAAAGATTCTATTAATGACTCACTTGCTGCAGAAATGTTTGTAGCAAGCATCAACCGCCATGAGATAACAAGTTTGTGACAACTTCCCATCAACAACCTACGGCAGAACACGTCAATAGATCAGTTTTACTGAATGAATGAGACATAACAAATCCACGAAAACGAAAAATCTATAGCACATCTCCAGAGAGCATCAACCAATAAACATGAGATATATGTAAGCTTGAGTTATTTAGCAAACACTTGAGTAATATTTATTCTCCAAATACCATATGCTTGACATTGGCACCATTTTCTATCCCATCTAAGTTGTGCAGAGCCTAAGACTTACAGGATATTCACTGGCTAGGTTGGGCTTGTAAAAATCATAAACATGAGCCATATGGCTGCCCCTCAACTTGCTTTCAAAAGCGATGGGGGCATCTGGGCCCACAAGCATTGCAACAGTAGCTGCCCCTCCAGTGGGTCTAGCTGCTCCCTCGGCATAGACCTGGTAAAGGAATATTCACAAAATCAATAAGATTGAAAGTTCATACCAAATGAAGTGCAAATTAGCTTGTATTCCACATGAAGTTGCTATGATAAGGTTATTAAAATATGTAATTTGAAAAGAGAGATAATTTGAGCATACCGCACTGTCTGTGCATACAACAAGGCCATAGCGTCCATCCCATGAACTGCTCTCCACCCAGTTTACACAATTAAATAATGCAGCAGTTCCACCATAGCATGCATTGGTTGAGTCCACACCTTCAATGTCTGTGTTTCCATGTTCCTAATCATTTTTTAACAAAAGAACATCAAGTTATGTTCAGACATGAGGGATACTAGCTATACCCACAAAAAACCAGATAGAAGAATAAATATGAAACAAAGATGACTATGCACTTGTTTCAAATAGTACCTCAAAAATTTGCATCAAGAATGTCTTGATAGATTTGCTCTTGTCCAAGACAGTCTCGCTGCCTACTTCCAGCCGACCAATTTGCTTGGGATCAACATGATATTTCTCTAGGAGATTGTTCACTGCTGTCAAACTACAAGTACAGAGATTATCAGAGAGGTACCCATCTCATAACTATAAAGTTATGTTACAACAAAGGTTGATAAATGCTCCACCTTCAAGTACTTAAAATTGTAACGGACAATTCAATAATCCCTCCAAACAACATAATAGACTACTCAGCTATCCACACCTTCTAAGTATCAAGAGATGATATCTATAGAGATTAGACACATCATTTCTCAATTTTCCACAAGATTTCCCAACTTTCTGGAAAATAAAAAAAACTAACCATAATTTCTAAGCAAACATTTTCAAAAGCAAGAGAATCAAGTAATGTTCTCTTTTATTCAACTTGTTTTAAACAATTTCATATGCAAAAAAGACTTCCTAGAGAAAACAAGATGTTTCAGAAATACGTGCATAATTTCATACAAGTTCGAACAAAAAATGTCACATAGAAATGCCAATTTAACCATCTTGCTTAGAGATTTAAATCATTCAAAAACAAACGATGACTAATACAAAAAAACACATTCACTAGCTGATTTATTGAGCTTGAAAACTAAGTAAAGAGTAAATTTTAGATATATTGATGCAACAATTGATCAGACTATAGAGGTAAGTTCGAACGTAGGTATCAAACCTCATCGATATAATGTCTTCCACATCAGTACAGAATGCCATACAATCTTGTCCAAGTCCAATGGTGTACTTTCCTTTGCTAGCCCCATCATGAACCTCCAATGCTTCCTGTTTGACACACACCATCAAAAATTTATGATGACATAACAAACAAGAAACTCCCAAAAAACAAATTTAACTTATGAGTTACTCATATGACATTTAAATCAGCAACTATAACATCTTAAAGTCATGATCCTTAACTTCAAATACAGAAAATCACTACAAGATGAAATTTCCAACATTCAAGGAAATTTAGAAACTATTTTAGCAAGAGTTTCTCTGATTTCCAAAGAGTTGACTTCACAATGAAACATAAATATCTTAATCAAAAGCTTAAAACTAATTAGATTGGGCAAATTCTCAATTGGGTATTTAATTCCCAAGTTAAGGACCCATCATGATCTCATTAACCTACCAACTTAAGCCAAAGTATCTCACTTTCTGAAGCTTTTTTTTAGGCCAAATTACAAAATGATTAATTTAATCAGTAAAAAGGCTGATAAATAATTATTGTTCATTCAAATTGATTTGTCATATCTCTCACAGTTCAGAAAAAACATGAAAAATCAATGTTATAACACCCAAAAAAAATAAAATGAAATAAAATAACAAATATCCATTTTATTTATTTTTGGGTTTTATTTGTTTATATTTTCCTGGTAATCAAGCAAATCCCACATGGCAATCAAATTTCTCCAGCACATTTCCATTCACAGATGAAACTAAAATAGCTTCTGGGAAAATCCCAAAATCATGGAAAAACCAATTTGATTGTACAGTCATAAATAAATCATAAACCCCATTACAAAAAAATAAAAAAAAATAAAAAAAAAAAATTAAATTAATTGATATTTATGTGAGAATAGGGAATATAAGATTGATTTACCTGTTGAACACAAGTAGGAGGGAAGTAGATTTCCATGGCAAGAATTCCTACATTCTTTACAGAAGAAGCCATTATTTTTACAGATGAAAATTTCTTCTCTCAAGTTTTCTGCAAGTCTCTTCCTCGATTACAACGACAGTTGAGAGAAAGGAGAGAGAAGATCGGAGGGTCCGGAAAGATTGGCAAAGGAACAAAAACAGGGAAGTTAGCAAGAGAGGTTTTTTGTATTTGAGAAGTGAATTTTGGGTGCCTTAATTTTGTGCCTTATATAGACTAGATGTATCAATGAATCATCATGTCTTCATGTATGTTATTAGTCCATGACACCTACTACTACTAACAAGAAAATTCCAGGTAGATTTTTCAAGATTTATTTTATCCTTTATAGGGAATTAGTCTTAACTCGACACTAATACGACCTGGACTAAATATTATTACGTAGTTCTAAATTGGACTTGTTTTACCGTTTGTTACTAGTGTGTATTAGATGGTTGAGATTAAAGACCTGCAGATTTAGGTTATTTGTAAGTCTTCATTTCATCTTTTGGGCCAACAAAGTTTATTTGGGACTAAAAACTTTTGATTTTGGATTGACCTAGAGAATTAAAGGATTTTGTAATGTAGTGTTCCAAAACCACCACTTCTCAAATACCAAAATAAATTTGCTAAATAAACAGAATATACTTTAGCCCATAACAAATGGAGCCAAATACAACCATACGAATGATGTCTTAAACCATGTTAAACTTAACAACTCGTGTCCCAAAAATTTGCATAATCTTGTGTAATTTCTATAGTAATTTGATTCGAGTCAGGTTTTACACAAAGTATCCTAGTTTATTTTATTTCTAATCACTTGAGTTTTAAATTTCTGAATACCGGTCAAACCCCCTTCCTTTTGGGTTAGGTTTGTGCATTATTACTCAATTAATTAAAAATGATTCAGCAAAATTAGTTCATGCTACATCACGAGGTAAGGCCCTATTCACTTTACTTTAAAAAATAAATTCAGTAAAAAAAATTTCAATCCAGTAAAATAATTTAAGTTCAACTAAAATAAGTTAAGTTTAGTAAAAATAAGTTAAGTTCACTTTAGTAAAAATAATTTCAAGCCAATAAAAATCAGTAACTTTAAAGAGGAAATATAACATAAAATCAATAGAAATAATTTCAGTTCAGCAAAAATAATTTCAGTTTAGTAAAATTAATTTCAATTCAGTTAAAATAATATAATTTTAGCAAAAATAATTTCAATTCAACAAAAATAAGGTGAAGTGAATGAAGCCTAATTGTTAAAAAGGTGAATAGAGTAAAATAATACGAGTTTGAAAAATGTAAAGAGTACATTACGTGATCTTTTGCTTTAAATAAGAATGTATCATGTTCCTGTTCACTTCAAGTTAAAAAAAATATTATTTAGTAAAAATAATTTCAACTCATTAATAATAAGTTCAGTTAATTAAAAATAATTTCAATTCAACAAAAATAAGTTTAGTTAAGTAAAATTCAGTAACTTTAAAGAAGAAATATAATTAAAAATAATCAGTAAAAATAATGTCAATTCAGCAAAAATAATTTCAGTTCAGCAAAAAATAATTTTTGCTCAGTAAAAATAATTTCAATTCAGCAAAATAAGGTGAAGTGGACGAAACCTGAATAGTCTCATGAGTTGCACGAATTAGATACGCCATAGTCATTTTTCTTTATTTAAAAATTTTCAATATGACCTATTTTAGTAATAGTTACTCACTCCAATTTTTTTTTTAACGCATCAGTGTGACTTTTGCACTATTTACATGTCATGTTTGATGACTTAATTTTTTTTGCTATTATGAAATAAATAATTTTTATTATATAATATGGTCAAAGATACGTGTGGACAAACGTACCGGTCAAATAGATGTATTTAAAGGAAAACCGAGGGAGTAATTGAGTAATACTTCCTTCGTTTTTTATTATTGCACTTTATAAGTTGGGCACAATAATATTGATGGTGGGGAAAAGAAAGAGAGAGAAAGGTAAAAATACAAAAACATCTATGTGATGTAAACATAAACAAAACAATAAGTGTGAAAAAGTAAAGGTATGTTAGGTATTTGCATTATGAACAAAGATATTTTTTGTCTTAAAATAAAAATGGTGCAATATTTGTAAAAATTCTTTAAAACGTAAGTGATGCAATATTAAAAGTAATTACTTTTGTATACACACGGTTTACACTAATAATAGTGTAAATCGAGCAATATAAGGGTAACTTTTAGCTAATTTTAGGGTAACTTTTTGCCCTTTTTTTAGTAACTTTAAACATAATACAATTTTTATATAAATAGACAACAAGAAAATTTTTTATAAAGGTAATATAATTACGTTTAATCACTAATGATTGATTTTTAGTCATTTAAAATGTGATTCTTTACTAATAAAACGTAGATAATTTTAATTTGTATTAAGGGCATGTTCATATTTACTTATTTTCAGTTCAGTTCAGTTCAGTTCAGCTCCAATCAGTTCAGTTCAGTTCAGCTCTAATCAGTTCAGTTCAGTTCAGCTTAGTTGTTAATTTTTTTTGTTTTAGATGTTTTAGCATATTACAACAACGACAATAATAATAATAATAATAATAATAATAATAAATAATAATAATAATTATTATTATTATTATTTTAAATTATATTCGTCATTCAAAATGGTCACATGTTTTTTTAATAGTTGAACTCATTGACAAAATGAGAGTACTACATAACAGTTACTAGCTTTCATAATCGGTTAGTTCTTCGTCTTTTTCTTCTTCATTAAGTTGCTCCATTACCTCGGCATTCCTCTGAATTGACTCCCATATCTGATCAGCTATTTGGTTTCATACAATATCCATAGCTGCTTTTCTGTTATCATCGTACATAGTATGATCTTCTGTTGGTCCCATGACTTCAACTTGGTGCGTGAATGGAATCCCTAGTTCATATAAACGAACAAAATTGTGTAGAGTACAACAAGCAACGATTGACTACAGTAAAATATTGAAGAATACTTTTTATTTATATATATATATTTAAAATATAATACATTTAATAATTTAAAATATAATAATTTAAAATACAGAGTTATTTTTAAAATACTTTTATATTTTTCACAATCCACTATATATATTATCATTAATTTTCATATATTTTTATACATTTTAATTTTTCAGTTCAGTTCAGCTCCAATCAGTTCAGTTCAGCTCCAATCAGTTTAGTTCAGTTCAGTAAATATGAACATGCCCTAAGTTACTTTTATACATATTTGGGTAACTTTTATTCATTTTAGGGGTAACTTTTGCTCATTTTAGGATAACTTTATAACGGATGTACAATATTTTATCATACATCCGATTTTTTTAAAAGTTTGTATATTAAAAGAACGGAGGAAGTAGATAAGATCCATAATACTAACAAAGTAACAAAATTTAAGGTAAGACTTAAAATATCGGCTTATTGAATATTGATGGTGGTAGAAAACTAAATTAAGAGAAATTGTAGGCTTAAAACATGTATTGTCCATGATTGGTAATTTTTTTGGGTTTTTTTTTTTCAATATTTATATACCATATACGTAGTACAACTTATACTTTTTTTTTTTTTGAAAACTACTGTAGTACAACTTCTTCTTCTTTTTTTTTTTTTTTTTTTTTATTTATTTAACTGGGTAAGAAATACTTTACGCAGACATCAATTAATTAATTTCAACATCTGTATGCTATTCGGCTAGAATAAACTTCAACTAAATTTCAACATACGTCTGCTACAATAAACTAAATAAAAAGAGAAGGAAGTTAAGAAACATATGTAATTGATGTTATATATGTCTTGGTTGATTGATGCTAATAAGAGGTGATAACAACATTTATGAGAATAGATGTACTGATGTACCCTTTGTTCTCTTTTGAAGTTTTTGATTGATGTTTGGTTTTGTTTATTTATTTTTACACTCTCCAATACACTGTTTTAGAGCATTGCCACTAATGGGCATTTTTTTGGTTGTTCAATCTCTCTCTAACCACTTTCTCACTCCTCCTCCCCATGGACATTTTCTTGGTCATTTTTATTCTATACCAATGGTCAAAAATTATAATCCCCACCATTCTCTCTCCTATTTTTAACCCTATACCCCACCAATATTTATCTCTCCTACACATCATTAAATTTGTAATTTAGTATTTCTTAATTTTATTGTTAACAAAATTTTGTATTGATTAAATTATTTATGAGTAGTACAATATTAATTATTTTTAATATTAATTTTTGCAAAATGTGATTTTTAATAAAATAATAATATTTATTCTTAACTAAATTTTTTTATTGATTAAATTATTTATGAGTACAATATTAATTATTTGTGTCATTATTTTATGCGAAATTTCATTTTTCATTAGTACAACATTAACGATTACAACATTGGAACATAATGATCGTACACCAATCATACAAACCAAATAAAAGGGGTTATTGGGATTCATGAAATTCTCATCAAAATCATTACAATTTTGAGAAAGTATTGAGTAAAAGGGGTTATTGGGATCCATATCTATTTTTTTTTATTAATTTCAAAAACTAACACAATAATAACAATAATAATAATAACTATAATAATAATAATAATAATAATAATAATAATATTAATAACAAAAATAATAACGAACAACAATAATAATATTAATAAGCTGAAATAATAACAATAATAATTATACTTCCAATAATAATAATAATAATAATAATATTTATTTTAATAATAATAATAATATTTATTTTAATAATAATAATAATAATAATAATAATAATACTAATATTAAAAGGATGACTAATTATGAGGGAGAAATTGAGAGAAAATGTAAATACAACAAATTTATGTGAATTTTGAAAATATGAAAATATAGGCAAAATGGGTCTCTATTTGTAGAGAATTTTTTTTTCTAGCCGTTGGTATATTTTTTTTTTAATTTTATAAGCACAAAATACCCGTTACAAAATTGTTACCGTTGCAATTATCAGGAATTTCCTGATTGGTCCAACTCACCTGACAGGACGCGTGTCAGCGCCTGATTGGGCGTGCTGACGCGCCTGTCAGGGCTGCCAAAATCATTTTTTTTTGCTTTTCCTACCCTCAAAACGCAGCGTTTTGAGGTGAAGCAAAACATAAGCTTCTTCAAAGCGCCGCGTTTTGAGGTATGCTTAGCAAAAAAAAATTTAAATGCAGCTTGCACGTGGGGCCCACTTCTTCCTGGTCAGTTTTTTAATTTTGTCCAAACTTTGATCAAAAATTGATTTGCCCATGGG